AATAGCTAGAATATTTATATTTCTATTCTTATTTTATAGGCACACCTACATGAGAGAAATCATTACCTGAGAGTCAGGTACTTGAATATACATTAGAATAACATAATAGAAACATATTAGGAGAAATTGAAAGGCATATTTTGAAAGGGCTAGAGGAAGTGGGAGTTAGGACTTCTTATAATTTAGAGGTACAGCTGGAGACTGCCGGCAGGTGCTGGTGTACTGTTTGGAGACCCCATTTTACATCTAACATAGCTTTTTGTTTAATAGTACTATTATTCTATCTCTTTCTGTGTATCTTTTTTTTGGCTATACTTTTGTTGGTTAAGATCAAGTCAAATTAAGACCTCTATTATCAGTTAATCTTCCTCCTTATCTGACCGGCGCAGCCCCCCAATGAGACAGAGGACGCTCTTATTGGTAACAACAGGTAACTGCCGCTTTATTGACGCGGGCTCTGGCTTATATATTCGGCCGTGACCAATCACAGGCTGCCACAAGGAGGCAGGGTTGGGATGGGACGCGGGCTCTGGCCAATATACCCAGCTGTGGCCAATCAGGGGTTGCCACAGAGTCAGCACGGGGCGAATATGAAGTGAGCACGGGGTGGCTAATTTGGAGAGGGACGTAGCGCATTGCGGAAGCTGGTGTGGTCCTTAGTCCCGGGCGGGGTATGTGAAGCACCTGCGCCCAACATCTCCCCCTTTCTTTATAACTGACGCAGGGTCTTCAGGGGTCGGTGCCCCCCGTGAGGTGTCATGCTGCAGTCATGACTGTGCCTCACTACTCATCGGTGCTCTTTTGGAGGGGGCAGGAGTATTGTTTTATGAGCCCAACCCGCATGCTCATCGACTTGGAGACCGGGGTGTCTCCTGGCCAAGGACGATACCCCCTGCGATGCTTTGCTCCACACCTGCGTCACAGCATGGCGAGCCATGCTGCCGGGCTTTGACCGGATTCCACGGCCAGCAATGCTTGTTTGATACTTTGTTCCTATTCCTTTGTCTGCGAATCCGACAGAGCAGAAGTAGACTGCCGAATGCGGCAAGTGTAGCTCACTATCGCGGCCGTGATTCCAAAATCTCTTTTATTGCGCACGAGCTGGAACACATGAAACTCGTCTGGGTCTGCCATAACTGGAATTGGTACGAACTGGGGTACCTGCATAACGACAGCTAAAAGTGTACTGTTATCCCAACATTGTGACACATAACAGGTTGCGGTGGAGTAATTTAGAAAAATCATATTTGTGGTGGCTTCAAACAACAGAAAAAGGTAGGGAGCTTGCAGGCAGACTGGGGTTTTTGTGATATTGAAGACCTTTTGAGACTTGTAGGTGGAGGGTGTGAAGGAATCGTTGCTCCTCACCCCTGAAACATTGCTATGAAAAACACGGACTGGGGTCTCTGTAGTCTGGCCTAATTGGAAAAGGGCTGATATATCTCCTGCTGCTCTGGCCCGATTAGTGAGCTTCCAGTTATAAACATCCTGGTCTAGAAAATTTTGGATTTGCTTTCGTTTTATTTTCAGTCCCTTTTCTCTCAGTAAGTCGCTCAAAGCAATTAACAGCGGCTGACTGGCAGTGTTACCCATCTTAAGATAGATTTCTCTTTAGGGGACAGCTTAATCCCTGCGCCCCTTCACGGCGCCCCCGTAGCCTGCCTTTTTACGGCTCCCGGAACTCTCTTTACGAGTTCCTCAATCCCTTGCGACGCGTCCGCCCAAGGTTGCCCGATAGCCCCCGCTATCTGGCCCGGCAGCCCCCGCTGCCTGTTGCGTAGCCCCCACTACCAACGTTGAGCAGTTTAACCTGTCAGCCCCCGCCCGCCGTGTAGCCCCGCTATCGGCGCTTGATGGTTTTACCTGTTCTCGTCTCCGTTCTGTCGGAGAGAGGATCTCGTTCCCCGTATGGGCCACCAGTTGACCGGCGCAGCCCCCCACTGAGACAGAGGACGCTCTTGTTGGTAACAGGTAACTGCCGCTTTATTGACGCGGGCTCTGGCTTATATATTCGGCCGTGACCAATCACAGGCTGCCACAAGGAGGCAGGGTTGGGATGGGACGCGGGCTCTGGCCAATATACCCAGCTGTGGCCAATCAGGGGTTGCCACAGAGTCAGCACGGGGCGAATATGAAGTGAGCACGGGGTGGCTAATTTGGAGAGGGACGTAGCGCATTGCGGAAGCTGGCGTGGTCCTTAGTCCCGGGCGGGGTGTGTGAAGCACCTGCGCCCAACACTTATCTACCATATATATTTTTGTAATTTAAGGCTCTTCAGGGAGTCTCTTAGCTCCTCTGTAGTCTTCTGCTCTATCAGTTTTGTCATCTACCAGGATAAGTCAGTCTTGCTTGACAATATGACTTCCGTTGGAAGATAGGGACATCCCCTGCTTAGTGACCTTCCTTTTAACAGTGTAGACTGGTTGACCCCTGTCCTTGGGGTCCAGTAATCTCCATGCTTGGGAGGTGTGGTAAGTCACTGGAATTGCAGAATCCTCTTGGAAGGGTCGCATCATATCTTGAGTCCTGGCTAACCTAGATGTATACGGGCCAAAATATTAGCTGTCCTCTTAGCCAAGTTACCTTTTTTAACTTTGATTTTCAAGCCTCAGTTGGTGAACACCCAGATGAGTTCCACCATTATTGAAGTGAGAGCAGTAGGGTTAACTGTAATAATCCTACCTGGATATTGAGTACTTTGAAATAAAAAGTATGTCCAGAGAAGTGTTACCTTTTTTATTGATCATGGTCAGCATCAGTATTAGGAACCAGTGTTATACTCTGTCTGTACTGTAGCTTATGCTTACTGTCTTAACATATTGCTCAAATTGTCTTTTAAAAATCATATTCCTGTAGAATGTTAGGTCATGGATAAAGTTTCATAAGGAAAATCTTAAACCAATAGCAAACATAAAATCTTAGCATAATAATTATATTAATATACTAGATCCATTAGAGTTTTTAAAAATACATTTAAATTTTCAGTTTAGTATAGAATAACTTATTAATAGATTATCTAATTATAAATTATATGACAAACTTTTGTCTAAATTTGCTACTTTTTAAATATAGTGACTAAAGTACTAGTCTACAGATGTACTGTACAGATAATTAATGCCTACTCTTTACCCTTAGAGTGACATTGCCTAACTGCATATTCTTCAGGCGTATCTAGCACAACACAGTTACTTAACAGTTACATAAACATAAGCCTGAAAAAAGGAACATGATCATAAATAACTTCAGTCTAGAGGTCATCTGTATGATAAGATGCTTTCCTAAGTTTCATACCATATAATGCCTGTACACTTGGGAAACACATATGTATTCATTACATCATGAGATTAGCAATAATTAATATTGCAAATCTCATGATGTAATGAATACATATGTATTCATTATATGTATATTATATGCATATAGCTATGCAGAAATCTTCACATATATTTGCTTAGATTTTAGCCTTAAGACAAAATTTAGGTTCCTTTATTAGATTTCTATTGTGTAACTATATTGAAGGCCCTTATAAGTTCAGGATAGTGTGAAATATCACAGACATTACCCAGTGTAAGTCAAGAATCCACTGTTTAAGGAATTCATAGAGAGTTTAAAGAGTCAGAGATGTCACTTAGAGGCTGTAAGTCACACTATTTTAGATAGGGAGATTAACTTAAGGCTACAATTGTCACAAGGATGCCCCAGACAAGTAAGATGGAGGGAGGAAGCAAGGTAATATTTGAGAGGCTCTGGGGGAAAATACTCAAAGGTTGGGCTGAAGAGGGTCTTAGGACCCAGGAAAGCCGTGGTGATAGCTGAGAAGTATGAAATGGCACCTTTCCGGGTGCCTGAGGGCCTTTCCTCCCGGCAGGGAGAGGCCCCACGCTGCACTTCCTCCTTCCGGGGCAGTGGGATGTGCATGGAACTGTACTCAGAACCAGGAGAAAAGCTGGACTTCCTCAGCGCCCATTGATTCCCTCTGTTCTCCAGCTCTCTGATTCTTTGTGATAACTAATATCAGAAAAAGTTAAAAGATTTGAAGTTTTTGAGAAGAAGAAACCAGTTGGCTCCTTTTCAGTTTGAGTCCATAGAGTCTACTAGGTTCTGAGGATAATGTCAGTTAGCAGTCAAATGACCATGTGCAGCCTAAGAAATGTTTTCAGCCACCCAAAAGGGGAGCCATGGCATCAGGTGGATTGAGCTTTTGCCTTTTGGTTTGGGAGCTGTGAGGGGGAGGTGATAGGAGAAGGGGAGGGAGAAGGAAAAAGAGGCAGTTTAGAGGATCTCCTTTCATCTAAAGTGTTTAAGACCAAAAATGTGTGTGATTTAAAGAGATTCTCTACTTTGGGTGTCATCGTACAGACTGGTCTTTTTTAGGCTGGGGATTTAGCTCAGGGGTGCAGCACCTACCTTGGCAAACCTGAGGTCCTGAGTTTGATTCCTGGTACCCCAGATAAACAACAACAACAACACAGACAGAAACCAAGACTGGCCTTTTCCATGATGACTCCAGACTAGGTTTCCTGTGCTGGATGCATGAGAGACTTTGATCAAGACACTAGAGAGGGTCTATCCTTGTGTGTCTCTCTGGGGAGCAAATTTTAGTTCCATCTAACCCAGGAACAGAGAGTGATCTAGGGTGTGTATTTCTACTGTCTGTTAGGTTATCCATCTGGCAGGCTGGCAGAACACAAGCCATATTTATGTGTTTATAGTTGAATATTCTGCCTCCTTATATTGCTGCTTCCTTAAGGATGGAAGAAGTATAATTTATAGGTGAAAAAGACAGGTCCAGAGCCCAATTTTTAGGCTTATTGTGTTTTTTAAGAACTTGAAATTTTGAGTGTGTTTCCTGGAAGAGAAAAAAAGGCATGAGTATCTTTTGTATCCTGAGTTGTAGTTTTTTTTTTTTTTTAGTTACAATTTTAAAATCTTTTCCATATCTTTTTTGTCTGATTTTTTTTATCCCCAGGAATGAACTAGTAACCTTTGTTTCCTCTCAGGGGGATCACTGTGGTTGGCTGTTTCCAGGAGAAGGATACACATTTGCAGCCAATGAGCATAAGCAGCTTGCTGAAATTGACACAAAACTCCAAGAGCTCTCTGCTATCTCCCCAGCAGCTTCTAGCTTTTCTCCAAGACTTGAAAATGAAAATGATCAGGTATTTAATTCAAGAGCCCAAAGACCGTTCGGGTTTATGTGTGCTAACACTGGTTCATATAATCTTCTACTCTTCTCATTAACTCAAGGGTTTTTTTTTCTTTTCCTAATTACGTTTTTCATGACTGTAACTGCAGTCATTGTCATTTCCATAACAGTGTGTATTTGCCTTTGGTTATTTCTACCAATTTTCCTTTCAGTTGGTAATTTACAGGAATGAAGTCATTTAAGAAATATTTATTTTAATATTATATGATGTAAGCTAATTTTTGATTGTGATCAGGCAGGAGGAAAGGTAAGAATATAGATATCGTATTAATTACTCCTTTGAGAGCCCTGCTTTTCATTATTCTTCTGGTACTAGATATTAGCAGTAGCAGCCACTTGTCCCTCACTCTACCACCATCTTCCAGATCTTTTAAAATGGAGAATAAAGCATACCCTCTTATGACTTCTATCTTGTGATGGTTTTGAAATGGATGTGTTTCTTCTTTCAATAATTCCATCAAATATTCTTTTGCAAAGTGATTAGACAGTATAGAATACAGAAAGTGGTATTCCTTTGGGAAAGTAAAATTTTTTTTTCTGTTCCTACTATATTTCAGTATTTTCTGTCATTTAGTTTAAGGCTCAGTGATAGTCTGGAGAGAAACTATATACTGTTTTGTTATTCTGCTCTTCCTCCACTAGCTTTGTAAAAAAGTATTCACTGTATCATTTTCTGTACAGTTATAGATGGCTGTGATTTTCTTGGTCCTTTAAAAGGTTTAAATATCATTAGGTTCTAGGCAGTACTTCTGATTTACAGTGAATCTTTTACCAAGCTGTCAATCGAGGATTAAGGATCTGGCATTAGGTTGGTTAAAACTACACTGGGGCAGAGGAGCAGAGTACCACAGAGTCAGTTTGACGGGCAGCACTTCATGGATGATCTTCACTTCCTCAGATTACATTTCTAAGGGCCCTGCACAGCCACTTTTGAGCCCTAGAGAGAGCACTAGTGATAGTAGTATTCCGGTCAATCATTTCTGGTTTGGGATCTGAGTCTAGAGAGGACTTTGAGAATTGGAATCTTTGCCCTCACTTAGAAGAACAGGATGCTGACACAAGTCACACCAGTTCTTTTTTGTTACTGGGTCCCTTGTGTACAAAGGAAGAAGTCAAGACAGAGTGGTAAAGTTGTTCAGAGATGTTTGTTCTTTTCGTGTTTCAGCTGCATTTTTTCCCTTGGTTATTATAGATTGAGGACCTCAAAGACAGAAAGATGGAAGATGTCTTTTTCATGGCTATTTAATGTTATTCTTGAAAGAGAAATTGAGAATTTAGAGATTTGGACTATAAAGCCATTAGAACTTTAAATAAAGCATGACTGTTTTCAGATTCCATCGTTGTCATCTAAGTCATATTTTTTTTTCAGAGTTCCCCTTATGGTTCAGATAATATATTTGAGAAATAATGAAAGGAGCAATAAGTTGATTACTTTGTTTTTGCATACCAAGGTTACGTATTTTTATGAGAAATAGCATATATTTACAAAGAAGAGAAAAAAACCCTACATTTTGGGACCCCCATTGGATGGAGAAACAAAAACGTATGCTCATAGTTGTTGAAAGGAAGTGATTGATGCTTCTTGCATGCAAAAAAGAGAGTACTTTTTGAGTGTTTGTTCAATTTCCTCTTGGACTTTCCTCATCTCTAACTAAAACCAGCATTGCACATTTAATTTTCAAGGCAGAAATGCTAACATGGCAAATTATTTTATGGATATAATTTTTGGATTGAGATACTTTTGAATAAGTACACTGAAAATATCTTGGACAAGCCCTGCATTATCTATTTAGCCAATGGATGTGCTCCAGTCTATGGCCGAACCACAAATACTAACAGTGCACTTTCATGTGTTTGTATTTTTAACTCTTATGCATGCTATTTACTCATCAGTAATTTTTCTTTGTGCTTTTTCAAAATGTCTTTTAAGTGGAATGGTTCTAGTTTTAAGCAATCAATCAATGAAATGTTAACTGAGTGCTCACTGCATATAAGAAATAATGGAGAACTTAAAGTTAAGTCAGACAAATATAGTACCTCAGAGTACAGAAAGCTTGCTTCAAGTTAGGCTCTCCCATTTCCTAGTTTTGTGGACGTGGGCATTAATTAGAGGCTCTCTAAAATCTCAGTCCTGTCATTTATAAAATGGTAATAATATTTCTTAGGATTCTTATGAAGAGTAGCTAGTTTAATACACAAAAGGTATGTACTGCAGTACAGGCCACAGAATTTAATACATGAAATTAATATTATTGTCATATGTGACTTAAGGAACTTATTCCATATGGAAGGTAACAATGCAAAGATAATGGGGTCATTCAGAGTGCAAGTGAGACCATCCAGAAGGAATATCAAGAAAGCACATTGAAGGGACAGGGCAGGAAGGGGGACTGGAGCAGGAGGCAGAAGAGATCAGGGAAACACAACACTACTACCACACACTGTAAGGCGAAAACTTGTGGCCTGCAGTACATATTAAAGCTGATAACTTATAAAAATATTTTTAGCCAGATTTTAGAAATGAGATGAATACATATAAAGTTCAAAATTTCTAGTTTCTTTTGAAAAATAACTAAACATAGCAACATTATATTTGAATGCTTGCTTGGTAGCTACTGTAGAGGACTGAGTTAGCAAATGGAATTTTTTATGGAGCACAGATCCTCAGGTTTGCTGCAGTATTTATCACACCATGTTGTGTTGTCAAGAAAACACTTTTCAGAAAAGTTGAAAGAGACACAGAGTTTCTGAGTTATCCATACGTGCTAAGTATGTGGTGCTAAATCAGTAGGCATATAAACTAACAGTGATAAACATAGCTAAGTCAGAATAGGTTAAGGGACCCTAGACGTGTGGTTAGAGGATGAGAAAGCATTGGTTATTGTGAAAGGGGCAGATAAAACATCTCCTTTCCTACTGAACCTTCACACTGGATAGATATTAGGTACACTGCTGGGGGGTGGGGCTTAGGACCATTTTTTTTTAAGACACAGGAAAAAAAAAAAACAAAAAGCAAAAGAGACAAACAACAACAACAAACCCAATACAATAACAGTATAGGTTTACAAAACAAGATGATAGGAATTGGACAATGGTTGTAATATTGTGTATTGTTACCTTCAAAAGCGTTGCTTAGAATAACAGATATAGACACGTAAAATTGATCTAGCGTTTAGCTTTTACATGTCTGATTTCCTTTGTGTACAACAAAGCACCTGGTAATCCCATTCAAAAGAAAGAATGCCTTATTACTGCCATTGCTGTAATGTTAATAGTACGTGATTCTAGGTTTTACATCTGCTTTTTATTTTCATTTCATCTTAGCAAAAGAGAACTAATCAAAGCAAATTTTTTTTGGAAGATCTGTGGTGTAGCTGTGCTACCTTTCCATATCCATCTCTGAACTCCACTGTAAATCAGTGTTTTCCACATATTGTAAATCCCATCATAAATCTGAGTGATGTTTCATAGTGTAATTTTTCTTATTCATAGATATATCAGACTCCAGCTTTCTCTAGAAATAGCTAGGAACAGGAGTTATGTAAGCATTTAGTTTCTTAAATCCTAAGCAACTGGAATCAATAATACATTCTGTTCTTTTTTGTTCTTGTAAAGAAGTATAGTTTATTCATCTCTCATGCAATTAGTCTTACTAAATCTAGGATTCCAGCTAAAGGATAGTATTTTTTTTTTCCAGTTTCAGGAAGGTATTCTGCAATCCTCTTAGTAACAAGAGGCATTCCTTTGTTCTTTATTTTGTTTTATTTTTAAACACCATTTATTAGAAAAGAAGAAAGTTATGAAATATCTTCATTCCTTTGTTCCTAAACCAACTAATCTACTTAAATATAAACATCTTTTTAGTTTGATTTATCTTCTTAAAATATTGCTTTACACAATTTAGACAGACCAACAAAAAAATTAACAGACCGTGTGTGTGTGTGTGTGTGTGTGTGTGTGTGTGTGTGTGTGTGTTACTGGAGCTTGAAATCAGGTCCTTTGCATAGAGGTATATCGCTACTCCTTTTTTTATTTTTTAGTTGAGACAAAGTCCCACTAAATCACTAATTTTCTCACGCTGGGCTTGAATTTGTGATCTTCCAGTCTTCCAGGGATTACAGGTGTGTGCCACTGTGTCTGGTTTAACAAGCTTTCATTTGAGGAAAACTGTATCCATCTCTTTTCTTACCAAGGTCATGCTCTAGCTGACAGCAATAAAGTTTATTATTTCTGGTCTCTTCTTGTTTCAATATGACTTAAAATTGAGAAAATATAGACCACTGTTCAATATGTAATCTTAAAAGATGTTATTGTATATTGTTGGCTTCAAGGATTTGCATAGTTTTAGTACTGGCCACAGAGGCCACTTAGAGCCCCAAATTTACTTAATCACTCTTTAAGAGCAGACATCTTGTAGTTTTTCAACATATGCCAGTCACAGGCACTGGACTGGTGCTTATTTCCAGAAAATGCAGAAGTGTGCCAACAAAAGTATAGATTCCTGGGCTGAGGAATAAACAAGAAGTCATTTCAGAGGTGCTTGCCTCTAGACCAAACAGTCTCCATTACACATTCCTGTTAGACGTTCTCAGACAAATCTGGGAAATGGCTCTTGACACCTATAACTTAGATTACTGTGAAGCTTATATTTGTTTTTCTACTCAGCCACAGTACAATCAAGGTGTTTTTATTTTATGGCAATATTCCAAGATGGTAGACAAATCTATTTGAAAGATTTCCCCCACTCCCTCTGGGACCGGCAGGCAAACGATCCACCCGACGACAGGAAATAGCAGCTGCCTGTGGAAGCAGGCACACTGCCTTAAAATGGGACACAGTAGCTTTGCTCAGGGAGGTTTTCAGCCCTGAATGCGTGACTTACTTGCATCCCAGTTAACTTAGGAAGCTGTAATTTCATCTGGGTTTGACTTTTGAAAATGAGTTTATTTAGCT